TAGAGGTTTTGGTGTCCCTTAACACAAGGCGAAGTTTATATGTTAAACATTTGAAAATAATCAATTACAAAGGCCAAAGGGCAAGTATTGATTGAGAAAAAGAAGTGCTGGTATTGGAATTCCTCCGAGTTTAACGTCATCAAAGACAGGTGTTACCAAAAATAAAAAATAGAAACATTAAAATGTGATTTCCAACAAAGTTTTTTTATATACTATCTTAAAATGTGTTTTAAATATAGTTTAAGTTTTTTTGTATTTTTAATATGCTATCTTAGGTACTTTAGTAGTAGCATGGTTTTGCTATCAGTAAATTAAAGTTATTAAATGTACGTATTGTGATTGTCTTCTCTGTTATCAGTTATAATCCGGCGATGCCCGGTCATATCAAGTAAAAATTTTCCGGGATAGGAACTTCCCCATTCTGATAAATGAGCTGTGTGACGAGGAGACTCGTGAAGTAGCTCTTCACTAGATCTTATCACATCATTGTCAAGGCAGCTGCTGTTGGACATACATGAAAAATAACACTATTTTTATCTTTATTCTTGCGGATTCCAATTATTTGAGTTCCCAGTGGTCCCGGTATACCTTATTAAGGACGGCCCTGAGCCCTAATTTAATTTTTATTTAACCACAGTATACAATGACTTAACTCCTGTTTAAATTTAAAGTACTTAATTAGTATTTTATGCCGATTGATTTGTTTATTTATTTCTGTAATGATTGTACTTAATCTCGATTGCATTGAAGGCAACGATAAAAAAAAGTTGCGTAACGGCAAGAATCACGTATTCGTGGGCGTTAAATGTTAACTTAATGATATTGAATAAAACAATTGCGATAGAAGGCTATAGCTAAACGAATCGTTTCTTTAAAGATACATGACTAGCAGTTCATGGATATAATTTATTTAAGCATACTACCGTAGGCCTTGGAAGCGTTAAAAAAACAAGTGGCATGACAGGCCCTTCCTTTGCGCAGACCAGTATACGACATACTTGTATAGCGAGGAAGTGGCTAATGGCGTCGCTAAATACCTAAAACAATATCCTTCCGTTTGTACTTTTAGATAAACCGTAAATTATGCAGGTATATTATATTCCTTTGCAAGAAAAATAATTAAACATCGGTGTTAATATCACATTTCTGCAGACAGCATGAAGTTAAAGAAAGTTAACTTGACCTACAATTTTTCAAATTGTAATTATCGATAGATGGTCATCCTACATTAATATTGAGATCAGGATCGCGTGGAAAGGAGCTTTGATTAAGTAACATTGACACTGGTTTTAACTTTGAACTTTTGAAGCACTTCGCGGAAGAAGTTAATGAATAACTTAGCGGAGCGGTTTCCTACGTATAGTAGTAATTCAAAGGTACATAAATTTACATCAAGCTGGAAGTGTGTAAAATGACGACGGGGAATTTCAAAATGTCGGTATAATGTATTTTTAATTATGTTTTAAACAATTTCACTAACTTCCAATTCGATGTAAATTTATGTACCTTTGAATGTCTAAATTGACCAGCCTATACATCAGTCATTCTAATTCTGAAACAATATAAGAGAAAAATAAAAAAATGGAATAAAGCTATTAAACACGTAAATTTTAAAAATATATTATATGATAGTCATTCCTTGCTTGCCTGTAATTGTTAGCAAACTTCACTTTGAAAAGGAATGCAGCCCCAGGTGGAGACGAAGCGACACTGAATTTTAAACACGACACCCAAAGGTGTCAACACATGCCATACCAGGTTAAATACTTTATTTTGTTTGTCTAAAAATACAAAATGACCGGACTACATGAATATATTTAATACAGCAATAAACTGTTGTGCTAAGTACCTAACGGTTGATCCGTTCATACGCATATCAAGTACGGATCACTGCGTTGTGTAATCCATCGTCACAATTCCCATGCCAACCGAATGCATAACTAGCTTGATCTGTGAAGATAAGGAAGAGTATGACTCCCAAACAAGTTTCCCAATAATAAGATCCGCAAAAACGTGAGCCTGCTATTATTATGGAGTTTGTGAGGTGCTCTGCTTCACAATACTGTCATTACCAAGTTACGACATAGCAAAGCATCACGTTTAATAAAGAATACTATGAACTAAGACCTCGAAATTAAATCTGAGAATCGAGACTATTATAGTCCGCACCTAGACATTACACAACGGTTAATATTGCGGCAAGAAATTTTAATTATACAAATGCACAATTAACAATACAAGTTAACTACATCAGATTATCCCTACACCGAGACAAGACTTAAAATTATTTTTATCAGAACATCAGACATAAACAGTTGATTGTTTATAATTATAACTAGCAAACCCGGCGAACTCCGTTTCGCCACCAGATGGCTTCGTTTTATGTAACATTTCGTTTGGTGATTAAAAGAAGAAGATTTTTTTTTGTTTTATATTTGAAAAGGAAAAAAAATATTTCATTTCACAACACTGCATGCACAAATATTGCAACTTAAGCGCAGAATGTGCAGTACGACCGCCATCTAGAAGAGTCGCCGCAATTCCAGATGATGCTAACGCCAAAGCTATGTCACATCTTGATCGAATAGTGGCCAAAATCAATGAAATGACAAATGTTTTCCCTGTTCCTCCAGGTGCGTCCAGGAAGAATAGACCACCAGTATTATTGTCCACCGCTTGCATTAATGTTTCGTATACTTGTTTTTGCTGTTCATTCAGCAACGACACATTATTTCGAACGAATTCCTGCAATGTATCAACATTGTATTGCAGCTCTCGATTTAATTCTTGGTTGAATTCCTACTTCAATCAGTAGCTTGTTTGCAATAGTCAAGCATTGATCCTCCATCAGAATCAATCCTTCATTGTAGATTTCATCGGTTATTTGGATGTCAGGATTATTCGTTTGAATGCGCAAACGATGCAAGATATCTTCACATATGTCGTCTTTGTATTTGTTCCATAACTGAATTGGTTGTGAAGGAAAAGATGTGGTGATGATAATTGCGAACAGCGTTCGTATTTGGTACGCATTTGATGAATCAACTGAATCCGCAAGTGTTAAATCCCAATGAGAATCGTTCTCCAGCAAACCCAATAGTTGACATGCTTCTCGATATGTTTGGCATTGGTGGTCATTCACAGGTTTCAAATGCGCAAATGATTTTGGTCCACGTACATTTACCAACAGCAGTCGCAAATAAAAACATTCATCATTTCTAGGATGAACAGTATACATGCGACCTAGTGCATCAGTGGAAAACACCTGTGGCCAATCTGGAACTGGGGTTCCTTGTTTGCGACGTTGGAATTTCTTTGTTGATTGATTCCAAGTGTAATACTTGGGCATTTCAACGTACATCAGCGTCGCTGCGAATGGATCTGCTTCACACATTGCAAAGAAGCTAGTCAATGTTGTCGATGGTGGTCTCTCAGCTCGTTGTGCTGCATTAGCCTCAGTGAAGTAAACTCTTTACCCATTTTCCAAATGCACTGCTAAATGTACAACTGTGGGATATCTTTCATGAATTTGAAATGACAATAATCGCCACAGTGCTTTATTAGTACTGATGTATCTGCCCATTTGGAAGTTGCTGATTTCGTCATTCGCATTTCCCGACGCAATACCAAACACAGCCATGTCGCTGCCATTTGTGAGGTACTTACACAAATAGTTGATTGATTTGGCCGAATGACAACTCTCAAGGTTTGCATGTGTTTCGAAAATTCGTGATAGCAGCGGGCAATATGGTACAATGAATTCATTTCCGATCTCAATCTCTTGATTTTGAACTTTAACTTTGATAGTTCGACGATTATCTTCTTTTGAACGCCGACGATAAACTGGATATCCATCGTTCCCTGTGACTGTTTCAGCAACTAACGGTCGCGGATAACGTTTTGTGCACTTTCCGTCAGCCATGCAAGGCGATAATGGATTTAATGCACCGCACGGTCCATGCACCATCTGTGTCGTCACAATGTCGTGTAGATGGGGATCAGTGACTGGATCAGGAATTTCAGCTGATATGATGTCATTCACTACATTTGAATATAATTTGTTCAGCAACCAAATTAGGATATGAGCATGCGGTAGTCCACGCTTCTGCCATTCCACCGAGTACATACATTGATTACTTACTTCAAGCTCATTTTACATTAACAATGCAAGAAATGAGAAGTCCTTAAAAGTCCTCCGATTGCATTAAAAATATAAAATTCCTAAAACTTTTTTTTAGTTTTTGTTAATTTTTTTTAACGGCCGTCGATTTTTTCTGATATATATTATTTATATATTATATCTGACATGATATTGGTTTGTAGTACATGCTATGTATCAGAGATGGCGCTGTATGTGAATAAAGATTTTCCCGCTTTTCTGTTGAATTTTTTCCTAAATTTTCTTTGCTATAAACCTCACGGAGCCCGAGACCTTTCCAACGAATGCAAAACCGTGGAAATCGGTTCGTGCGTTCTGGAGTTATAGCGTCAGGAAGGAAAACCCGACTTATTTTTATATAGTAGATTACAAGTGTCAGAATGAAGCGACCCCCATACGAATAAGCTTGCTACTTTACTTCGAATATGATAATGGAGGACTTCTTTATCCGTGCTAATCACTTAACGTTACATTTCCAACATTTAAGAAATGTAAAAAAATAATAATAAAATATTTATACAGTACGAACTTAAAAAGTTAAACTATTGCTTGAATGCGTTAAATTTACTACTGCCCTATCATAAGAATCTTTTAAAACCAAAATTTTATTGTAATTTGTCACATTATATAAGTTGCTCATACTTACCATGTTAGAGATACATCATTTTTAGGTTATAGTTTGTTCCTGGGCTATTGTTAATTAATTACTAATCTTATGACTGCCACCTGTTTTGTGTCTTTACAAATAAATATATATCTAATTCGTTGCTTTGCACCCGCTAATATAAATATAATCATTTGTTATGAACATAGGAGTAAAAAATTGGCTTCTTTGTTTCAGATTCAAAATGAGAGCATTCTGTTTATTAGCCGCCCTTGCTGTGGCAACAGTATGTGAATCAGCAACACCACAACTACGCTTTGCGTGGAAGCAAGTTGACTACGCGTGGAGGACACCCGCTGAAAAGGAAAACGCAATTAAAGATGGGAAGTTCATTCCAGAACACAATCTGCCTTTAGGCTTAGCCAGGTGGAAGAATAAATTGTTCATAACAGTACCAAAGTGGAAAAATGGTGTCGCCTCTTCCTTGAATTATGTAGACGTAGATGGTCCTCAAGATCAGCCATATAAACCTTACCCATCTTTCGAAGACAATTTGGTTGCGGACAACATTAAAGAATTGCCATCGAATAATACAATCATTTCTGTGTTCAGAGTACATGTTGACCCGTGTGACAGATTATGGGTTCTAGACACAGGACTTGCAGATATTTGGGGTAAATTTCTGTCATTAATCCATAAAAGTAATGAAACCATTAAGTTTATTTTAGTATCAAAATGACTTTTGGCAGACGAATTATATTTTAATTTATTTCTCGCTGTTATTGCTTGCTGCACGTACTTTTTATTATCAATATTTGCTGTGGAAAGTTTTTCATAGTGTTTACATTAACAAAACCACTAAGTTATAAAACGTTAAATATTTTTTTCCTTACGATCATTTTCCTTTACCTACTGTTTTCAGTTAATTTTAATTCTATGGATTTATTACTAAGGTAAAATTTATAGTTAATGAATGTGGTTTTCCTGCCTGTTGCATGCCCTTTTCAACGGATAATTAATATTCTATGAAGAAAAAAGGGGAATCTATTAAAAGAATTATAAAGATACAACAGTTGCAAACATTCTTATAATAATATCCATAGTTTTATTGAAACATGATTCCCTTGAACATGACCTAAGCTTATAATTTTAATAACCTCGGTAAGCATGAGCAAGAATTTTTTTTTGTTACCAGGATCACCCAACCAAGTGATCGGCCCGTCTATCGTTGTTTTTGATTTGAATACCGATCAGCTGATTCATCGCTATTACTTCAAATTAGAGGATATGAAGGAGGACTCGTTCTTTGCAAACATTGTAAGTTTTTTTGTGAAATCTAATACCTACCAGTGGTGCTATTCTGTAATATCACACTTACTTTTAATCATTCAGAAATCGCCGCCGGTGGAATTTAAAATTTATTTGAAACTAGTGGCCCGCCCTCGCTTCGGAGTGGAGTTGTAGTGTAGACTTAGTTTTTGTACTAAAGCTTGTAATACCTACACACGATGAGTTTCTTCATATAATTATAAACCTTCTGTAAAATTTAATCTACTGATAGTGAAAATTATATTGCGTATAGGAACCTGTTGTACCGAATGTACCATTCCTCTGCTGTTAAAAAAAGTTGGTCCGCCTTACCATTGGTCCAGATGCGCTTATTATTAAACGTATCTAGTGACGCAGTGGTACACATCACAGAACATAGAATTCTGTAGTACACATGCATCACTCTTATCACTCATAATTATTGCACTCAACATAACTTTTGAATGGTATGGTATGGTCTAATCCAAATAATAATTTAAAAAAATAAATTTAAGACTTTCAGGCCCGATATAGTCTTGAATAAAAGAATCCGATTCTATTCCGATTATAATAAGGCCACTTATTAATTATTAAATATAACAGTAAATTGAATAAAACTGGGAAAAAAGTTGTAGTATTGCTTCGTAGGTAATAAAATAAACAGACATTTTAGAAACCCCGCCTTTATTGGCCAATAAAAAGAAACGAATTCACCAAATTTCATTCCCAGTACAGTACTTAATAGATATGTATTTTTACAGAAAATATATTGTAGTGACCGAAATTCCATTTGATAGGCCACTATTGCCACTAAACTATTATCTATTCTGGGACTACTAGAGCTAGTGTTTCACGCTTTTCTTTTGTCTCCAGTACAACACGAGAAAAAACTTCCCAAAAATTTGCACAGTATAGTATCTAAACAAATTATATTTTTTGTAGGTAGTGGACACTGACAAAGACTCTTGTGACAACGCTTTCGCGTACGTGCCGGACTTGGGCGCGTACGGCATTGTGGTGTACAGCTTAAAGCAGGACGACTCCTGGAGGATAACCCACCACTACTTCCACTTTGAACCCTTGTCCGGCTCCTACAACGTTGGCGGCGTGAACTTCCACTGGACCGATGGTGTATTCAGCTTAGCTCTGTCGGAACCTAGAGAAAATGGGTAAGTCTCAATTATAATCCGCCTTATAGCAATGAGAGCGTGCATTATGTACTTTGTAGTAATATCCTATCGCTTGGCAGTGGAATATTTGAAAAGACTGCATTGAAATTAGTGGAATATTGTTGGATCAATCCCAAATCTTCATCAAATTACATACAATCCCAAGAAGTCTTCATCAAATTACATACAGAATAGGAAGATAGTTTTTGAGAGTACCTTTTTTAAAGTAGCATTAGGAATAACGGTCACACTGTTAGCTGAAGGTCAATTTATTTGTGTTATTCCATGGCCATCGTAAAGAGCGTCTACTTTTGTCAAAAAATAATTAAAGGCTCCCAGTGTTGCTGTAAAGGTGCTCTCCCACGATCTGTTGTCGCGGGCGAAACCGCACTGCGCAGGGTTGGCAAACGTATGGGAACTCTAACGATCGAGATTTAGCTCTCTCGTACACTTTGATATGAGATTTGAACAATGTTGACTGTTTATGTCATGTACACAAACCATAAATATTATATGAAAGTAAATAAATGTCCAGTCCACAAAAGGGTCGTCTCAGTAAGTACATTTTCATTATGACATCACTAAATACATCCTTATTGATATCATCACCTGGTATAACTGCTAAATCTCGAACGCTAGAGTTCTCATATGTTTGGCAACCTGACAGCACCTGTAAAGGAACGCACACGCACATACCGCTACTCTACTCGTATTTACTGTCGTGGCCTTGAATATACTTAAACTCCGAAAGGTATGCCAAGAACTGTTCACCGAAAGCACGTTTCGCAGTTTTATATACAGCACAATCGCACTTTTTATGCGAAACTTTAATTAGATTTAAAATATCAGGTGGATACTATTTGTAAAGTCAGAATAAAATTTTCATTGATATGTGCTTTTAGAAAACAACGACATTCCATTTGCCGTTGTCTGGTAGTTACAGTTAGCTGGTTTAAAACATAATATTATTCAATCTATTCAATGATTGTCAAATGTTATTTAAGTTTTGTCCTGTTGATTCAGGGACTTGTCGTGACTGGGCCATGTGGCCCAGCCTTATTGTTTATTATGACCTTAATCCATATTGAATAGGCCATGTTTGTTATGCACGAGCGACTTAATTTATTTGCCAGTGAAGTAAAATAATGGTCTCGAATATCTATCTGTTCAAAATAAACATTTTCTAAATCTTCGAAGTTGAACTGGAAAAGAAGTATCAATTGCTCCAGCTGCAAAAATTTAGTGATAGAAGTCTCAGAAGTATTAATGGTTCTATGAACCACAGAGTAATGAAGTAAATCACATTATTTTCTTAAAGAGGTTTTCATTTTTGTCCAAAAAGTGTTTTATTTTCACTTTCTTTTAAGTCGGAGCAATATCAGCTAAGTTTTTGTACTCGGCTAGCTTTTCGTGAGTCGGTTTACAATAAACTTCAGTTACAATAGCCTTATGCAAACTGCTAGTCATCTTTTACAAAGCACTGCATATTCCGATTTAGGGATGTCAATGAATTGTTGTGGAGTTCTGGTTCAATACCAGCTTTACATCACAACATGCATTGTAAAAAACGTGAACTCCAGTGCTATTCTGTAAGAACAAACTCACTTTTGGCTTTGTTTTTTTACATTCGTGTGATAAAATATAAGTACAAGAATTTCCAATTTTTAAATCACAACGGCGGATCCCGCGGTAAAAAGCACATGAGAAAAGGAGTTTGTGATTGCTTACAGAATAGCACTGCTGCTTAACATGTTAAACAAAGTAATCGTTTCGCAATTGGTGATATAGGTACTTATTATTCCGATGGCCATCAGTGGTATTCATTATCAGTTCCACTTCACCAGTTGGTTCCTTCTGAGTGTAAATAAACGAGTTACTATTAAAAATATGTACCTAAATTATTATACAGCGCTCATAATTTTCGAAGAGTTCCCACGATTTCTCCATTAACCCATAATTAAATCCTAACCTGGTGATGGATCCACCTCTGTAGCATAATATTCTTTTAAAATATCGTCGAAAATAGAAAAAATATTACAAATGCGACGAACATAGAACCCTCTCCTTTTTTGTTTGAAGTCGGTTAAAAATACGGAGTATTGTATTTGTAGGCGCTGAGGTGGTTACAATAGACCATTGTGTATTGCATATAATGCTTTACATGTCTACATTAAAGTAATATGTTCACTAATAAATTATTCTGAGCTCAGTTATGTCGTATTACCATTACCTGAGTAAACGAGAGATTTTATTTATGTTAACAATTACTATGCAGATTTACTTATAAATCAATGCCACAACACAACAGTTAATAAAATACATGTATTCAATCTATTAATGAATGATATATCATAGTAAGGCTTCGAAACCTTGTTTGTTCTTGTTTCTTGATATGTATGTAACGAAGGTAATGTACCTTCGTTACATACATACTCGTATTAATTCATAAGCACACAAATAACTAATTTTTAAGTAGAATAAAAAATATATTTGTAAAATTTACATAAAACATGGGTATGTAATGGAGGAGCGGAGTCACCTGGCACAAGCATTGGTTTGCTTAAAAGAGGACTCCTACCACTAAATATTGCAACCAAAATCTTTAACGAGAATAAATTATTACCTACATACTCGTAAGTATTTACCCCACAATGGATATCAATCCTCGACCGTGGACATAGTAAGTATGGTCAGGGTTGTGGATTGTGTACCTGAACGGAAATACGTAAAGGCCCTACTAAGGTCACGTTTCATTCAAACAGGTTATCACTGTTGTCGAGGATAATAACCGGTGCGATGTATTCAAGAGAACATTTTTTTTCAAATATGCGGAATATTTCCATAAAAGCCTCGTAAACTGTAATTAGTTTAACTTAAATTTGAAAAAAGGAAGGATTTGAGGTAGGAGTTACTTACCATTATAATAAGAGATCGGATAATCGGATGCATATTTACTTAAAAATATTTTTTGGTTAACAAATTACGAAAGCGGCTTCTAAGGATATTTTTATTACTATACGGATGTACATTTACTTAAAGTTAAAATTTTAATTTTCCATTCGAGTATGTGTGTTTATAAGGTGTAAGAGAAATGGTGGTGTGGTTAGTGAGAAAAAATGAACGAATGTAAATTTATTTATTCATTAGGACATCTTACACAATGTTATCGTCACAAGGCAACTGTCATTTGTGTCAATCTAGGTTTATTAGATCTCACGGAGTATACACTTAAATTTCTATTTCCCAGAACCGCGGGATTTTTACGATAATAAAGTGCTTACCATAATAGCCAACATCTTAACCGGTTATCCGATTTCTAATTATAATGTTAAAATATTTGTATAATAATGTTTAATATTATTATCGTATTCGATAATTAGAGTAGCTTCCGTCAACCTTATGTAAGATATTATTATAAAGTTTTTTTAGACGTGATTATAACTTGGAGGACGAATAAATTTTGCGGTAATACTTTTTAAAGCTACTAAGTTAACGTACCTATTTATTGTTGCAATAGATCATCTATAATACGACCAATCAATTATTTAGAAACTGCCTCGAGGGTTTTTGGTCCACGCCACTATAATTTAAATAATCGTTATAAATTAAAAAAAAGTAGGATTTAGTTTAATTGATTTCTGCAACAGTAAAAGGTTGAGATGTTCATTTACATTCGTGTAATGTAAGCAAGTTGTTAGTGTGACATTGACCCCAAAAAATAAAACCGTTCGCTTCCAAGGTCAATGAAAGGTCAATGAGTTATAACAACTAATAAATAGTATCTAGTATGCGAAAATTGCGTAAATTTCGCTCAACAACTTTATTAATCGCATTTTTATTAAACATTGAATGGGTGGATAAACACTGATATTTTCTGGACCGTTTAACTTTATTTTTTTCACTATAATTTCTCTTAAACTAAGGCTTGATTTACTTTTTACGGGTTTCTAAAATATAATAGAGTTCCAACAAATATATCCTATTAACGTTGGGTTTTGCTTAAGTCATATCTTTTTTTTCTGGATTATGTCGAAGAATTGTGATTAACGTTATGTACAAAATTAAATGTTCATATTTTATTTTCTTTTTCAGATTCCGAACATTATTTTTCCACGCCTTATCCAGTACCAAAGAGTTCTGTGTGTCTACTGAGCTCCTCCGCAACTACACTCACATAGATAAAGATGAGGCATTCCATGATTTTAAGGTTTGTGCCTACTTACGTAAATATTGCCAATATTAAGAAAATCAAGTTTACCTTGAATAAGAAAAGTAGACATATCACAATTAAACCTTACATTGTTTAATACAAGTACCTAATTTCTATAAATAGATATTTTTTCTTGATTAACGAGAATGATAAAAGTGTAATTTTATGTTTATATTTGTTACTGATGGGGTGACTGATAAAGAGTGAGAGAGTAAAGCAATCGTGTATAATTTCGATATATTTTATTAATTGTATTAGCTTCCACCCGCGATTGCGTTCGCGTTATACCTAGTTAGTTTTTACAGAAACCCACAATAAGCTAACATTTTCCGCAATAAAAGGCATCCTTTATCTCAATTCATGTATTAAACTATACGTGAGCGCCATTTCATCCAAACCTGCCTACAGCGCTTTTTGCGTGATTGATTAATAAGTATCAAAACTTACACACTTTCTCGTGTAGGCATAAAGTTAGTAGGATTCTGTAGTTACTTACAAATTTTGGTTTTATAAAAATATCAGTACCTATTATAAAAGATATGAATTTTAAGCGGCACGATGCGATATATTTGCAGCTGTTGGGTGACCGAGGTGAACGCACTCAATCATCGGCGGGAGTCTACGACACCAAAACCGGCGTGCTATTTTATTCTCAGGTAATTGAATATGGAACAATGCACAATCCTTGAATCTTGGAACCATGTTTAGAACAATCGATGTTATATCGATGAGAGCCCCAAATTTGCAAGAACCGTTTGTTATATACAACAATTAACAAAAACATAACTAACCAGTTATGAATATAATTAATTGAATGAATATACGTAAACATTAGCCTAATAATATTTTTATTATTTAAGCATTTGACTGCTAGATGTTTAAATCTAAAGAAAATTTTACTAGAAAAACTACCTTACCCAAATTGCTTATAATTAATGCAGTTTCAAGCCATTTATCATTTTCGGTGCTTATCTACAAAAACCTTGTAAGCTCTTACATAGGAGGCTCACTTATATTTCGGCTAGTTTTAACTACACTAAATACATAATTATCAGCCACTTCATTTATTACTACAACGGAAGTCCTTTTTTATAAAGTATATGCTCGATATATTAAGCTCTAATGACCGTCTAAAGATATTCTTGTTCGTTGATATTTAAGCATAGATAAATAATAATTGCTAATATATGTGCATATAACAGCCATAATTAAGTAGTATTACATGATAATGAGTTCACATCATAAGTGTCTGATATGGAATCTGCGCGTGTTTGCTAAAACTTATCTAAGCTTAGCACACACGCAATCATTGTCAAAGGTAGTTGCATAATTACAATTATCTTAGATCTGAAAGATTTTTTTTCTGCTATAAGTAGTCATCACATCACGGTGTTATTAAATATAGAAAAAACTACTGGAATTTAACAAACCTACGAGGAACGCGCCGGAAATAAAAAAAATTGCCGGAACTGGCCACTACAATAATACTAACTTTGTATTCAAATGTTTTTAAAAACTAATAACGTAAAAAAACAAACAAAAATAAAAAAAATAAAAGAAACATTTAGCTTTTATATGCATATTTTTCATCTACATACTTCTTATTTACAATTTTAATATTTGCTACATTTTAAAAATTGCGTCTACATGCTAACATGGATTTAAATGGTGAAAATTTTCGTAGTATGATTTACTACGATTTTGAGTTTAGTTTGACAATTAAGTGGAGCGTCGCCTCGCCACTTTTTAACTGCTTTTGGTGATAAAACTCCATGCGAGATATCTTATGAAAACATTGGTGCTAAGAAGAAGTATTTGTGAAACACAACGTGTTTTATGGAACTTCGTTCCAAAAATATTGTTGTGCAGTTCTAACATTTAAAAAAAAAGTAAAGTTAAATTCTGCTAATCACTGTACCTAGTTCTGATTGCAGTACCAAGTCTGTTAATTAATTATGGTCACATTCTACATCTTAATATTAGAAAATTCTGAAGTTATGCAGCTACTTTACTAAGAAATAAGAATACTCCATAGAATGGATATTTTTTAAAACATCAGAATAAAAGTCTAGCATTTGAGATTGGGTACGAATTAAAAACATTCAAAACACATCAGGCGAAAACATTTCAGTACTTATAGAGAGAAAAGAAACTATAGCTAGAAGTATTACAGGCAATAGGCTGGAAGACTGACGACCTATCATTATTGCTATCGCACAATATTTTAATTATGTCATTGCTAAATACATAAATAAATAAAGTTATTCGTCGTTTGTCTCACGAGTGACCTAACTGTAATTTTAGTGTAAATTGCTCTCCTCATGCATGTTAATATTAATATTGGAATTTTCATTTATATGTTAATGTGCACAGGTAAACCGTGACGGTGTCGGCTGTTGGAACTCGAAAAAGCCATATACTCCTGAGAATAATCCCCTCATCATCAGCGATTCTGAGCTCCTAGAGTTCCCAAATGATTTGAAGGTAAAAAAAAAGAAATAATATTGAAAAAGCATACAATTAATAACTTAGTATTATGCAAGAAGCGGCGATAGTATAGAAGGCGAAATTATGTATTTTGTAGAAAGTACAATGTAGAAGATAGGTTCATAGTAAGCAGTGCTGGAGCGACAAGTCTCTGATATCGCAAGCATTAAATAGCGTATGGTGACCGGTTCACCACCAATATTACATAAAAATGAATTAGGTCTTTACTAAATATATAAAACTACTAGCTGTCCCAGCGAACTTCGTACCGCCATAAAAAGATAGGGGTTGGTCGTAGAGGATGAAAATTTAGGGTTGTATGTATTTTTGTATGTTGTATCATAAAAAAATAAAAACATGCATTTGTCCAAAAAAAAATTAAGGGTGTACCACCCTTAACATTTAGGGGGATAAAAAATAGATGGTGTCCGATTCTCAGACCTACTGAATATGCATATAAAATTTCACGAAAATCGGTCAAGCCGTTTCGGAGTATTTTATATATTAGATGTAACTTGTAAATTGTAGCTTGTTTAGAAGCTATGCTATTACAACAAATAGTCTATACTATAACGACATTTCTAATGTTTAGCATAAAAAGATAAGATTTAAAAAACTGTATACCTAATTTCAGATGGACAGCGAGAGCAACCTTTGGATCCTGAGTGACAAAATGCCGCGGTTCTTGTACAAGAGCTTGGACCCCAACGAAGTCAACTACAGAATATTCAGTATTAGCTCTAAGGATGCGATAGCTGGGTCCACTTGTGAATAAATTTATATAGTACCTACTGAGATAGATATTTAAAATACTGTACCAAGATGTTATAATACACATTTTCAATATCCAATTTTGCATTAACAATTTTAATTACCACCGTTTTTTAACTAAAAGGTATTACACTCGTTGAGTTAAATATTGACACAATGAAATTAGATTTCTTATCTGACATACAAGAGACTCCGTTTCTTGTTGTAGGGTTATTTAACACGACTTATTCTGAAAATGTACTTGTGAAAAGTAATATATTGAATATAAATTTTATGTAACTTAAATAATTAAAAAGTGCAAAATTATATGTTGACAAACTGTGACTGCAAAAGAACATCGACCGTTTCTAATTTTATTATAAGTTCAAAGTATTTGTAAGTAATAAGTTTTTACATTCCCTACCCCCAAAATATGGGAAGTAAGGTCTTTTCGACATAAAGCTAAGCTTACAAATACTTAGTAAGATCTCAAAAGATGGAATACATTGATTTTAACTTTATGGAACTACAAACTAATTTCCTAAGATTTTTTAATACCAGTGGATCGTTACTTTAAGTAGTTTAAGTTTTTATAAAATAATGTCACAAAAGTTTCCTTTTTTAGTAAATATGATATTTAAGTTACTTACTTATACAAATTGTTTGGATAAAAGTACACCAGTGTCTGTGTACAGATAGCCACATGTCAAGTTACCCAAAACTGTCAAATTTCTCCAACTGACTTTGAGCTTTAATCTACTTGTTACAAAAATGTAAACTTAAATTTAAAAAAAAAACAGTTAAATAGATCAATTAGTACGGATTATTCTTACTTATTAGTAAAATTTTATACGGAAATATAAAAACTGCAAGTGCATTTACGTGGAAAACATTTATCTTTTTGCAAACCACACTATATGATACGTTTTTAAGTTTCGAATTGACTTGGGTAATCTGTGTTTTGTTCTACTATGAAATGATAATATTATTTATTTAGATTTTAAATGTACTGCAAGTAAAATTTAAACTTTCTGTAGATAAATACATAAGAATTTTGTTTAATACGACCCGCAAAGTGATTTTGTAACTAATTAATATTATGGACTATCAGAATGGTATTAATAACTCAAATATAAAATGATTGTAATAAACAATAATGGTTAAAGCTTCGTCAAGGTTTTTTTATATTAAGTTGTCCCTTTTTCTTAATTGTTCAATTATACACTTATTTATTGCGCTAGCTTAATGGGAATGAGCTTTAGAATATCGCTATGCATTGTATATTTTGATTTTATACAAATATGCATACTGGCTCCACTTTGAACAAATAATTTCTTATTTGCTTGAGCAATACTTATGCCCTTTTCAAGTTGGTCATGTCGAGTTGCGACAATGACAGTAGGCGAGTTAAAAAAGAAGAAGAGTTTTATCCTTCATCATATTATTTTCTTCAGAGGTATTTTTTAAAAACAGATAATGGCGAATCCTATTTCTAAACTATTTTCTACATTAAAAAAGAGGAATAATAATTTACAGTTAACTTGAAGTTGGGAATAGTAAGGGGTGACCTTTAAAGGTAGAAATTGTTTATCGCGATTTTCTGATTATAATCTTCCGAACATCAAGTTGACCGTTAATTATTATTCCTCTTTTGTTAATGTGGAAAATAATTTAGAAATAGGATTCGTCATGTTTTGTTTTTTTAAGTGTAATTAAAAGATCTACATGCAAATTGTTTACAGTTTTTTCTCAAAACCAAAAATATCTGCGATTAATAACCGACCTTTAGGTTTTTTATTTATATCCCCCACTTAAAAACTTTATTTTACAATTTTTGAAAACTTGCCTTTAAATATCGCAAATCCGCATTGTTATTTTTATTCAAATTAAGTATTTATTTTTAATCCTTATTTTGATAATATATCGAAAAAGTAATCTTGTTTTTACTCAAAATAGCACAGCACTGGAGACTTTACTTAATGTGAGACCACTCCATTTATTTATACAACAGGAAGCTGCTTGTACAGCCACACGACTAAGCATGCTGGGGCTATGGAGGGACAACAACTCCCCACATACCAGTATCTTAGCAGACATACTTAGGCACTTTCCGTACTTTGCAGCAAACGACCTTATTCCTAAGACGTACATATTTGACAAAAAATATAAAATACAACTGTATGAAGACACTCCGAACCGCTGTTTGCACAAGGAGCTACGGGTCTACACAGATGGTTCAAAAACCAACTGTGGGACAGGTTCGGGTGTCTTCTCCGAAGACCTAAATATACACATCTCAACAGCATTGGGAGCATATAACACAGGCAGAGTGTGTGGGCATCATTAGAGCCGCAGAGGCGATAGACTGCCGCGGGGTAAGAAGAAAACAAATTCGTATTCTCTCTGACAGCGCTTCTGTCCTACAGGCACTGGACAACAATATAATGACATCAGGGTATATTTTTTTAATTTAAAACTGTCATAGGAAAAATATCAAATAAATACAGAAATTGTATAAAATAATTGGTTTTCATTCTGTATGGAAAACCACCCAATTGGAAAATGATATTACGCGAATACGCTTTTTTTCAAAAAATTACATTCAGCCCTACAGCCAACACCAACACTAACACGAACAATATCGTGCCCGAAACCTGTCCAAAAGGTACATTGGACGATCCACGGAGCTCCGTAAGATGATTGCGTAGTGAAAAATAATATAAGGCATTATTTAAACATTGAAAGTCACCATTTATGCCTACTGTATAAGGTGTTAATTAAAACGCATGCGTCAAATAGTTACGACAGTTCGAAACGCAAGCTCGTAAAATTTTACTACTTATTGCTATATGCGGAAGAATATAGACCTCAAAAGAGACGGCTATATTACTGATACCGACCATGCATTTGAATACCTATTACAAATATTTTCCATGAAATCAGTTTTTAATAAGTAAGTATTACAACAAAATTTTCTTCAAATGAGTTGAATTAACAAACGTCAATTAGATACCTGACGAAAAAACGAAACTTACATCACACTAATATTATAAAGGCGAAAGTTTGTGAGTATGTGAGTGTGTATGTTTGTTACTTCTTCACGTCTAAACGGCTGGAGCGTTTTCAATAAAATTTGGTATGGAGTAAGCTGACACCCTGGATTAACACATAGGCTACGTTTTACTGCGGGAAATTAACCTTAATAAACTGCGGGTAAAACCGCGGGGCACAGCTAGTACTATATATTTGTTTCTTAGGTTTTCACGCACATCACTCATTAAATAAAACTAGTTTTTTACGGGTTAATGCACGCAACATACTATAAGTATTGTTTTCACATTTTTTCATGGAGCGATGCGGCAACTTGACTTTTTAACGGTCCGTGCTTGACCTAGAACCAGGAAGTGCTTGAGTCGTGTTCAAGCACGAACTAGAGCCGAGGTCTGAGTGTCAGAGACGCCCTCGAGTTGAGTGAAGCCCCTCAGGTTCGATTGGTCTAGAGGCTCTAGACGGAGAGGAGACTCCCCCCGTGGAGAGATGCCATCCGCCTGTAATTCCTCTATAGGTACTCGCCACTTCTCGGCTTGCGGTCCCCGTCCTCGCCGTAGGATCTAGCCGTTCCCCAAAACCGGTGACGCTGTAATAAAAAAGAGAGCCTCCCGTTATACCAACCTGTCTGTATTCATAAGAACATTATTTGTCAAATGCTTGGAAAAAATGTTGTATGAATCAACACGAGTAAGAGAAGTTCTATAACCAAATCACAAAGTGTATTTTGTGACCGCACCGTGACAAATGTGAACGTTCTATTGTCAATGTTTCTGGAGATGACAATCGACTTTATTCGTTCAGTTATAAATAACTATTTTCAATACTCGAAATGCCTTATTGTGACTTTGTGACTATACTGTACTGTTATCGGGTACGAAACTTGTTGTACCTACCAACTAATATACTTCGTGAGCGGCTTGCCAGTACTGCCAGTGTCATTCAAGGGTAGTAAGTCGTGAGTGCAAGACGTTTGATCAACAAAATGGCGCCAAAATTCAAGACTGAGAAAGTTGGCATTGTGGGAAGGTTAGTAAACAAGATTTACTATTATGTTTCAAACAGAACGTAACAAGGTTGAGTCACAGTACCTCTATTGAATAAATATGTGCAGACATTTACTCAGCAGAACAGTAGTAGGTCAAGATTTAACAGACGTTGTGTTTGGCGTTTAATACATAATAGTTTACAAACCGATTTGCAAATTTCTCCATTGATGTCATGTAATTATTTTACTAGTTTGTATTGCTTAACGATAACCGTTAATAAATTAACATAGCTTTATAACCTACTACCTATTTAAATCTAAAGACAATTAGGGCCGCGGTAGCATAATGGTCAGTGAATCCGCCTAGATAGCGGGTTTTTTTTACTATTAAAAATTTCTTTAGATTTAAATATCTGGCAGTTAAATGCTTAAAAAAATAAAATTTAACTATGACCTATTTGTTTAACCATAGATAAATAGTTTTACTGTCGGATTCATTGTTTATTACGAACTCAGCACATCATGCACATATCTTATTGTGGTAACTGGTGATAAACTTGAAATACTATTATAAAAGTTTCATCGGAGAGAAAGTCTTTTCGTGTTGGAGTTTTTGTAATTCAATCTTAGTTGATCTATTTATATAGTGAAGGCCAAACATTGTATAAGAATGTACACATAAATTGCAGTTTACATGTGCTATGCTTATACAGGCCTTTTAATGTTAAAATATTATCTATACTTATAATAAATCTGTAGAGAGGTCAATTCTGTACATGAAATATATTTTCAAAATAACTATCAGGGGGTGATAAGTGATCGATACTGATGCCAAAAATGCAATCAGTAAATTTTTTGTCTGTCTGTCTGTGTGTATTTTCCTTATAGAAACAAAAACTACTTGACGGATTTTAACGAAACTTGGTACAATTATTCTTCATACTCCTGGGCAGGTTATAGTATACTTTTCATCACGCTACAATCAAAAGGAGCAGAGTGGTGAAGGGAAATGTTGGGAAAACGGGAGAAGTTACTCCATTTTTTAAGCTTCCGTCGCGTGTGGAGCCTTAATGGTTAAAGTTACATAGAAATCATGTATGACGGAAATATTCTACATAAAATTGTCTAAAAAATATCCCGCAACAGCATATGTCTATCTTTTATGGTTGACTCACAATAACACGTGTAACTCCTGATAGCTTAGCAGTTCGGAGCATTCTGATTATATTTGTTTACTCTTACGTTTATAATACTCTCACTCATCCCTAATTTAAAAAAGTTAACATTATTACCTATTCAATAAAAAAGAATCATAGAAATCGGTATAGAAACACCAAACTTAGGCCGTATACAGAAAGAACGCCGAAAGCTGATCGGCGCCGATCAGCGCCGATCGGCGCTTATCGGCGCCTATAGGCCGTATACAGAAAGAAAGCCGAAAGCCGATCGGCGCCGATCAGCGCCGATCGGCGCTTATCGGCGCCGATCGGCGCTGATCCTTTTTCTATGGACCAGCGCCGATCGGCGCCGACTCGCGCTGGTCAGCTGCAATTTTAAATTAATAAACAACGACAACAGGTACGTCAATTACTACACGCAATTATTTTTTAAGTAGAAAAATGGATAATGACATTTTGATATCCTTAGTATTCACTAAACAACCTCTGTGGGACAAAACCGACAAAAGGCACTGTAATAGATACGTGGTTGACAAATGTTGGAAAGAAATAAGCGAGGCCATGAATGAAGACGGTGAGTAGGTATTAATTGATTTTGTTTTAGTTTGTCGACTTACATAAAGTTAGTGAACATTTAAATCGGTTAAGTATTACAACTTCTTTATTTAAATATTACCTATGTCTTAAGAGCCCTTCAACGATATTAAATACCCTAGATACAACCTCACGAACAAAATCGTGGCCGAAACCTGTCTAATAGGTACATTGGACGATCCACGGAACTAAGCACGGAGTAAATTGATCGCGTAGTGAAAAACAATATAAGGCATTATTTAATCATTGAAAGTCACCTTTAATGCATACTTTTAAGGTCTTAATTAAAAAGTATGCGTCAGAGTTATGACAGTTCAAAATGCAAGCAAGGTAGAATTTTACGAATTTATTGCTATATGCGGAAGAATATACACCTTATTCATTTTATTTTACGCGCAGTTCTGAATGCGCTATTCGCAATGTAACAGATACGGACCGTGAGGAAAAGAGACAGCTATATTACCGACCATGCATTTCAATATCACAAATATTTTCTATTAAATCAGTTTATAGTATGTATTAGAACAAAATTTGCTTCCAATGCGTTAAATTAACAAACGTTTATTAGATACCTGTCGAGAAAATGACACTTTAGTATTTATTTCGCATTTTTTCACGGAGCTCTGCGAAATCTCGACTGTCCAACGGTCCGCGCGGGGTTTAAACGCCGTGTTTCATGGTGTCGCCGACTCGAGAGGTCCCGGGTTCGAATCCCGGTGAGGACAGATGTTTATGTAATGAATATGAGCATATGTACTCCAGTCATGGATGTTTAATATTTATTTCTATATAAATATACTTATCGATGTAACACAAGCCTGATAGTGCTTACTTTGGGGCTAGGCTAATTGGTGTGAGTGTTGGAAATATTTATTTAGTATATCCAGCCGGTTTACGATAAATGCACTCGAAGAATTTGTGACGCGTGCGACATAAAATGTCATCATAGATACCTCGAAGGGCGTTGGCGCCGTACTGATCGGCGCCTAATTGTCGAATTATAAATAATTTGTATTTGAATTATTATCCTTAGATTAAATCAATCTAAGTTATAATCTTTTTATAAATCTAATAACTTTATCTTTTATTAACTAAGCGCTAAAATTATTTGTTTCGTACTTACCGAATGGTGACAACAAGTCTTTCTTCTGGAAGGATTGGTTGTTTATGCCAATTACACCAATTCTTCATCAAACGGTTTTCCACTAAATCCAAAATGTAATTAAATGTTTTTTTAGTCATTCTTGCATATGCATAAAATCTTTGATCATCAAATTTCAATTCTTTAACAAATAAATGATGGTATTCTCCGAAACGTTTCCTTTCTCTATTTATAGGATGTATACCTGTTTTTCGCATTTTTAAATAAACATTTCCTAACAAAACCAAATCATCGTCCGATGAGTCCGACATTTTGCTTGATCTGCTTTAATCGGCTTCCTTTATGTAGGAAGAATCGGCGCCGATAAGCGCCGATCGGCGCCGATCGGCTTTCGGCTTTCTTTCTGTATACGGCCATAGGCGCTGATCCTTTTTCTATGGACCGGCGCCGATCGGCGCCGATAAGCGCCGATAAGCGCCGACTCGCGCTGGTCCGAATAATAAATAATTTGTATTTGAATTATTTTCCTTAGATTAAATCAATCTAAGTTATAATCTTTTTATAAATCTAATAACTTTATCTTTTATTAACTAAGCGCTAAAATTATTTGTTTCGTACTTATCGAATGGTGACAACAAGTCTTTCTTCTGGAAGGATTGGTTGTTTATGCCAATTGCCCCAATTTTTCATCAAACAGTTTTTCACTAAATCCAAAATGTAATAAAATGTTTCTTGAATCATTCTTGTATATGTATAAAATCTTTGTTCATCAAATTTTTTTTTTTTACAAATAAATTATGGTATTCTCCGAAACGTTTCCTTTCTCTATTTATAGGATGTATAGCTGTTTTTCGCATTTTTAAATAAACATTTTCTAACAAAACCAAATCATCGTCCGATGAGTTCGACATTTTGCTTGATCTGCTTTAATCGGCTTCCTTTATGTAGGAAGGATCGGCGCCGATAAGCGCCGATCGGCGCCGATCGGCTTTCGGCTTTCTTTCTGTATACGGCCATAGGCGCTGATCCTTTTTCTATGGACCGGCGCCGATCGGCGCCGATAAGCGCCGATAAGCGCCGACTCGCGCTGGTCCGAATAATAAATAATTTGTATTTGAATTATTTTCCTTAGATTAAATCAATCTAAGTTATAATCTTTTTATAAATCTAATAACTTTATCTTTTATTAACTAAGCGCTAAAATTATTTGTTTCGTACTTATCGAATGGTGACAACAAGTCTTTCTTCTGGAAGGATTGGTTGTTTATGCCAATTGCCCCAATTTTTCATCAAACAGTTTTTCACTAAATCCAAAATGTAATAAAATGTTTCTTGAATCATTCTTGTATATGTATAAAATCTTTGTTCATCAAATTTTTTTTTTTTACAAATAAATTATGGTATTCTCCGAAACGTTTCCTTTCTCTATTTATAGGATGTATAGCTGTTTTTCGCATTTTTAAATAAACATTTTCTAACAAAACCAAATCATCGTCCGATGAGTCCGACATTTTGCTTGATCTGCTTTAATCGGCTTCCTTTATGTAGGAAGGATCGGCGCCGATAAGCGCCGATCGGATTTGGTTTTGTTAGAAATTTTTTTTTTAAAAATGCGAAAACAGCTATACATCCTATAAATAGAGAAAGGAAACGTTTCGGAGAATACCATCATTTATTTGTAAAAAAAATAAAATTTGATGAACAAAGATTTTATACATATACAAGAATGATTCAAGAAACATTTTATTACATTTTGGATTTAGTGAAAAACCGTTTGATGAAAAATTGGGGCAATTGGCATAAACAACCAATCCTTCCAGAAGAAAGACTTGTTGTCACCATTCGGTAAGTACGAAACAAATAATTTTAGCGCTTAGTTAATAAAAGATAAAGTTATTAGATTTATAAAAAGATTATAATTTAGATTGATTTAATCTAAGGATAATAATTCAAATACAAACTATTTATTATTCGGACCAGCGCGTGTCGGCGCGTATCGGCGCTTATCGGCGCCGATCAGCACCGATCGGCGCCGGTCCATAGAAAAAGGATCAGCGCCAATCCTTCCTACATAAAGGAAGCCGATTAAAGCAGATCAAGTAAAATGTCGGACTCAACGGACGATGATTTGGTTTTGTTAGAAAATGTTTATTTAAAAATGCGAAAA